CTCCAGGGATGACCTGCTCCTTCTGTAGATTAAACCAGTTCATTCTAAATGTAATGAAAACACAATGATTCTAATTTTCAAGTGATTATACACAAATGAAAACATACCTATGATTATTATACTCCATTTTTGCCAATAGATCTTCCTAAATGTTACACACTGGACCTTTATGCAAGGCACATACTGTAAAACTGGCACCAAATAAATGGTTATGGATCAACACTTAAACCAGTTATGTCCTACACACGCTTTGTCTGCAGTTACTTGTACCACATAATAATGAGACAAGTGAAGATAGTGACAGTTAAATGAAGATTTACTACCCACCCTTTGGTAAAGCAGACAGACCTCCTGCATGTGGGCTGAACAATATCCAAGAGCAGAGCATATCGCAGCAGTGTTTTAGGAGGAAGGAGATAATGTTCCAAGATTACTTGCATCTGTGGTTCCAGGAAATCTTGGATCTGCCTGACAGACAGATCATGGTTCTGATTTATCTTCCTTTGGGCATCCATTGTTGTCTCTAGTTTATACAGGACAGGACCCCCTGGCATTTCCTCTTCTGGCTGGCAGGTACCTGGATGGGGAGGACCCAGGGCTGTTGGCAGCTCAGCAGAATCACTCTCAGCAGGATGTGGGATGGCATCTAAAATCTAATAATTTATTAATAATATTAGCCTAGAGGCAGAGGCAGATTTCTCAAGACCTGGAAAAATATGCCAAAACTGTCTCTGTACCAATAGAGATAAATAAGAAAACACAGTTCTGCTTGAAAGAATTACAATTGTATATTTAAATAGAACCAGCATATCTATATATTCTATATTGTGTATGTTTATCAATTCCATATAGTTCTTTTGAGGAAATTAATTGTGTAGTGACTAAATAAAGAGATTTGGTACTTTTGTAGGGGCAAAAGTTAGTGAACCCTGAGCTGCATTGCTTAAAATGAACGGGGCATCACTGATTGAAACAGGCTGCCCAGTTTGACCAAAGTAAACCCATACAGGTCAATCGTGCTGAGAGCAGGGCTACACAATTAATCACACTATCATCAAAGTCCAAATATGGTGCAATATGCAAATCGTAGAATCAGCTGTTTTAATAAAGATAAAATATGTGACAAATGTGTGTATAATGAAGTACTGTAGTGCTGTCCTGGCTTACACATTTTGTTTTCGAGATATGAGTAAAGATAAATTTATATTTGGTAGACCCCAAAGATTTTCACATCATAATTCTAATATTCATTTCAATGCAAATAAAAATTTGTGATGCAAAAATGATCAAACCCACAGTAATTGTAAATCATACCGCAGTGGCAATATCTGTCAAAATAGGGTAATTCTGTTTAGCTGGAATGGAAATAGACTTTTCTATGTGGATTTCACACTAATATGACTGCCAAGGTATTAGAAGGATGCTTTCTAAAACAAATAACTTTATTAAAGAATATTAATTATTCTTTAATTAAAGAATAATTAATATTCTTTAATGTGTTTAAATAATTTCAACACATTCTAGTTAACATTGCTGAGAGCTGCCTCTTCTCTCTTTGTGCTGCACAGTATTGTAAATCACAGCGCACTCTGCTGGATAAACTTTGCAGTGACACAAATATATTTTTCTGCATTACATATCGGATAACATATAACATATAATGCCAATATAAATATGATACCAATATGTTGGTCTGGCTCTTGTGCTTGGTGGATCCCCATACAGCACAGGCTGCCAAGGTGGAATTTAAGGGACTGGGTACAAGGACAAGACCATGCAAAAGAAACATAGACCAATATGCTGCCCACAGCCCATGTGTCAACAAAGCCAGACCTTCAGTTATAGGAACAAACTATCTGAAGCTACACAAATCACAAAGTCTTGCAGTTTTGACCCCATTAGCAAATCATTTTTTCCACAGAAAGAGCACTTTGGCTTTTTCCTATTAAAAAAATGCATCATGACATTTCTTTTTTTTTTTTATTATTATTTCATGATACCAGAATAACTCAAATCTTACCTTAAAACTTGTCAGGGTGCTTGAGTTTTCTGTTGAAATCTTAGCAATCAGGAAATAACGCAGTCTTGAATTTGGGATTCCAACCTGGATTTATGAATATAACAATGACAAAAACAAATCAGTACTGTTCCACAGTACAGATGTATTTATGAAGTAAGTTATACAGTGTGCCTTTCTTACACTTGTGGGTGAGACCATGATCTCCTGGAAAGTGTATCCACATTCCATCAGTGTTTTCACCAAACGTTCCCTGGGCAGGAGAAGCATAATATGAGGACAAATAAATTATGAATGATAACAAATCATCGCTGAGAAAAGGGAAGGCCTAAGAGAGTTGTTTTCCATTTTAAATTAGGAAAGACATTTATGTACTGAATATATTGAAGACAGAGAGACTCAGTACAAGATTCTTCACAAGCTGCACATCAACCGTTACCTCGCACAAAATAAATAGTTCCCTTTCAACTCTGATTCTGATAGGGGGATTTATTTCCATTGCTTCTCGGAGTGGAAACTAATTTCCAGATTCTGGAAAAGTCTAACTGAGCAAAGATGCAGATGATTTGAGAGATAAAATAAAATGATGGAAGAAGTTTTACTCCAGGTCATGCTGTTTTTGAGATAATTGCAAAGATGTAAACTTGATTATTACACTGCCACCTTCAGATCAATGAGTGAATGAATCTTTGGTTTTTGCCGTATGAACACTTTTAGTAGAGAACAGAAGACGCAGACAAAGAAGACACAGAAGATTCCAGCAGCTTTTCTGCTTGCACCGCTAATTAACATACTTGTTTGATGTGTTCTGCTGTATAGTAAGTATACTTTACGACTGGAAAGGAGTAAAAACTGGTGCCTCTGCTCATGTTTTGACATTTTCCATAAGTATGATTATTTTGGGTACAGATATAGGGCTAATCATGTTAGATATAACTCTCATCAATATACCACATTAATCCTGTGTTAACCATCAAACCAGAGTAGCAAAAAATATAAGCTAGTTATGAGACAGAAACCACTACGTTCCAAAAATAAACAGATCACTACATGTATTAATATTTCATAATGCACATGGTTTTCAAATCCATGCATGGAAATGGTAAAACCAGTCTATTAGACAGCGGATTCAGAGAATGATCAAGCGACTGACATTGTATTTATCTCTGATTTGTTGGTAGGACATTTAAAGAAATCTATCCATCACTGACAGGGTGACCTATCAGACCTTGTGGTGTATCCTTGCTGTCTCCATCGTTACCTTGCAGAGGAGGTCTCAAAGCCTTTCACATTCTCCAGCAGGATGAAGCGGGGCAGCTTGCACAGCCTGGTCACACATCATCATATATAATTTGGGAAAAAAGGATAAGAGAGTTCACTGACCATGCCAACATATCCATCCTCAGGCCACGTTTAAACCACAGTCTTCAGGATTTTGATAAAAAATGTTTTTCCAAACATTGCAATGTTATCTGCTATATTTGGTTGAATGAAATCTTTTACACAGGTTCCAAAAAGAGTTTTGGTCTATAGTTTTTTCGATTGTTCCGATCAATTGATCATCTGTGTATTTAGCATTCATTTTCTTGACATTGTTTAAGGCTTGTGTGGTTTTCATGGCATGAGGCTTTGTTTTCAGGGTCATTGTGTTTCTTGTTTTCTGAGAAAGGAACATTCATTGTCAAACCATTGTTCTTTTGCTTGTTTTTTGATTGATTTGGAGTTTGGTTTCTCATCTTGGACTCTTAAACCAGTTTACAACGACTGATTCCTCTATTTTTTTCTCCTATTTTTTCAGTAGTAGTGTGATATGGTTGTGTTGACATTGGGCTGTTGTTGTAAACTGTGAATGCATTTATGTTTTCTGGATAACACATCCGTGGATGCAAATTCCTCTGTTTTTCTAAAAGTATTCCAGACTGACAATACTTAAATTGCTTGTTCCGAGGTACATCTGTATCTCATCTACTTCGACAATGAGAAACACCACACATTAAATGACTATAGCGATCTCAAGAGTTGGCAGTAATTTTGCTGCCAACAAGTCAATATATCATATATCGATCATATATCTGCGAAGAGAGAGGAAGAGAGACGAGAGAGGAGACGATAGAGAGAAGAGAGGAGGGAAGGAGGGAGAGAGAGGAGGAGGGGGAAGGGAGGGGAGAGAGAGAAGAGGATAAGATACTATCTCTTAGTAGATTGTACCATTGTAATTCTTTAAAATGTTTTCAACCTGACTAAATCTCTACTAAGTATTTCATATTCACTGATTCAACTACAACAAAACTGGACTGTAACAACAGTAAGATAAAGTAAGAGCGGATTTACATTTCATTGTAATGGATAGCAACCCTGTGGTTGTAGAAGAAGTAACTTAACCTTGATATGAAGCTCGTGATATTTTTAAAATACAATAATCAAAATAATTGGATACGATAACTAATCATATCACAATGTTATAACACAACATTTAGACATAGATTCGAGGGGGGTAAGTTAGCTACATACGCTCCTGGCAATCAAACCCTATCTTAAAATGGAGCTGTCCCTGGAGGTTACTGGTGAGCTTTAACAAACTGACAGGAGAAGCAGAACAACTGTTCATAGATCAGACCTGTTTGCCTGGATTGTTTATGTCAAAGACCTTGGACGGTCAAATACAGAATGATGTTTCCTTCTCAGGAAACACGCTCCTTCTGGCTAGCAAAGTAGCCAGATATTACGAGAGCACG